GGCGTTATAAAAGTGAGATCTTTTTTTCCCTCCCCTACTTCATTGAGGATGTCAAGTGTACAAGGACTGGGCTTTTGAGAAAACAGACACACACACACACACACCTCGGCCTTCTTTCTTCAGCCTCTGGGTTTTCCTTTCCCTCCTTCCCTCCCTCCCTTTGCAGGACATCACTAACCAGGCGGCTGTTCAATGTTTAACCCAGCTTCCTTCCTTCCTTTTTGCACCGAGGCTTGTAAACCTGTGCCCTGCATTGCAATGACCGCTGTCCATTCCTTCTCCCCCTCCTCGTCGTCCCTTTAATAGAAACCGGAGTGGCAGAGAAAACCTGCCCTCTCTCTGTGTGTGTTTGTGGGAGAGAAAGATCGGGTGATGGGGACCCTTTGGAGGTTGCCTCCTTTGGGTAAATGGGATTTTCCCCCTCCTTATATAGGCTTTTGTGTGTCTTTCCCCCTCTCCAAACTAAAAGGCCGAAGGGAGAGACTGCCACCTTAAAAACACTTTGTAAGGTAAGGGCCTTCCTTTGCAAGGAGACCCTGGAGAATCTGGTTCGCCTATTTTCTTTTTACACTATTTCTATTTTCATCTACATCTTTTTTTTTTTTAAGCCTCACTCAGAATCGGTGTTGTTGGTGCAAAGCAGCCCTCTTTGGAAGCCTGTTATTGGGCTTCATAAAATGGCAGCAGTAAGCCTTTTCTATCCCCTTGCAAGATTGAATTGTACAAGCCTGGAACAAATGGAGCACAAAATGCATGAGAGGGATTTGCCAAATTCTTCTTCCTCTGTGCTAAATTTTGCCTCTGCCTTTTGACAAATGGGGTCGTGGCAATCCGAAGCAGGCCTGTAGGCTGATCCCAAACAGTCTTATTCAGAGGTAGGACCCAAAGAGTCCTGGGAAGTGGGTTTGCGAGGGTAGGCCATGTGGAAAAGGCTTGTGACTCATGGCAGTTCAATATTTAACAGCCCATATTTAAGGAAATTCAGATATGTTTGTCACTTAGAAAACGAGCATTGTATAGAATATTTGCTGTTGTTGTGTGCCTTCAAGACATTTTTTGTAACCCTACCATGGGGTTTTCTTGGCAAGATTTGTTTAAAGGAGTTTTACCATAGCCTTCCCATGAGGTTGAGAGCATGTGACTTGCCCAAGGTCACCCAATGGCTTTCATGGCTGAGCGGGGAATCGAACCCTAGTCTTCAGAGTCACAGTCCAACGCTCAAACCACTAGACCATGCTACCGGATGACAATCAATTCACAAAAAGCTGAATGCTTTTCAAGTTTTTTTTTTTAAAAAAAAAAGCTAGCATCTGAATGAAGAAACAGAACAGTTGGCTGTAATCTTCTCCAAAATGTGGAGGTCAAGCCACCCTAACTTGAGAATTATACAGCCGCCAATATCCATGTGGGACCCCAATTTCACAAGTGCATGACACCTCTCCACTAAAAAGTCCTTCAGTTGTTCAGTTGCTCCCAAAAGGCGAGTCTGCTGCATTGAGGCCACTCCATGCTCCTGGTTTTGTCAGGCTTAGAGAAAACAGAGGGTAGTTGACTGAAGAAATCTGAAACCGCTTTGCTTGACTATAGGATGTCTTTCAGAGCTAATGGGGAGAATGTGGGGCTGGAGTCTAATCTTTCACTGCACACCTGCTGATCTGCCTCAAGTCTGCTGGTTAATGTCGCTGAAAATCTTTTAACACCATTGGGTGTTGGGACGGCATTTCTTCTCTGTACCCCATCCCTCACCCCCCACTTATCCCCGAGTGCTGACAAGCAAGTTGATTCTTGTTAACAGTCGCTCCTTGCCTACTTTTTGCCTATGGTCAGTTCCTTCCTTCCTTCCGGTGGAAAGCGAATAGAGAAATCCTTCAGGTTTCCTTCCAGGTTTCTCTGCACTGTGATGCCAGGGGTTATGGTGATCTGTACTTAGTCAAAGTTATAGTTTTTGAGCTCCTGTTTACACAGTCAAGCCCCAGTATGATGATAGGGGGATGTTGTTTTCTCTAACGCAGCACAATAAAGAAGTGTGGTTCTGGAGCCCTCCGTGTAGGAGCCAGCATGATGTAGGCGTCGGAGCCTTGGACTCTGGAGACCAGGGTTCGATAACCTGCTCCACCGTGGAAACCCACTGGATGACCTTGGGCAAGTCACATTCTCTCAGCCTTACAGGAAGGCAAAGGCAAATGTCTCTGAACAAACTTTGTCAAAAAAAACAACAACACCCCATGATAGGTTTGTCTTAGGGCAGTGGTTCTCAAACTTTTGGTCCTCCAGATGTTTTGGATTTTATTTCCCAGAATTCCTGACTCTTGACCAAGCTGGTTGGAACTTCTGGGGCTTGAAGTCCAAAACTCCCAGAGGACCATAATTTGGGAATCACTGCCTTAGGGTAGCCATAAGTTAGAAATGACTTGAAGGTAAACAGCAACAAGAACAACAAAACCTTCCAGTGTTGATGAACTACAGTTCTCATCATCTTCACCTTTTTCATGTTGGCTGTAGCAGATGGGATTTGGAGTCTTAACGCCATCAGGACTGGGAGGGACACATGTTCCCTCATTCCTGTTCTCAAATCTGTGAAGGAGAGCTGTTCAGGATCAGGCCAAAGGTGTGTTTAGAAGCTAGAAATGAGCTGTTAAAAAAATCTAGACTTTATCTAGATTTGAATCTAGGAACCTGAATTTAGAATCGAGATGTACCTTTGTATGATCTAGCAGGGCCCTTCTTTGGCACTGGTGCCAGATTTCAGTCTTTGCAGTGATATAAATGGCTACAAAAAGTGCAAGGCAATGTGTATCTGTGTGTGCTTGTTCTTTTAGATAGTTGATTTGAAATCCTGCTGATCTCCATGCTGAGCACTCCTTCTGCTTGGCTTTTAGAAGGTTTGCTTGCTTGGGCATAAATGAGAGACGGCAGCCATGACCCTGTCAAGAGTTATGGCTTTCTAGAGTGATGGTTGTGTGTGTGCTTACTTTGAAATGGGCCGGCTGGAGTGTCTCCTTAGTGTGGTGCTTCTGTAGAGGATGACAGTATTGTTTGACCCTTCTCTAACATTTGACAGGTAAGCTGCCTCCTCTTTCCATGACAGCAGTAAAAATGTGCATCCTGAGTTTGTTCAAAACAACAAGAGCTTCTCTTTGAATTCTCTCCCCATTGCCTTGTTTGCTTCCAGAAGCCCCTTTGTCCAAGGAATAAATACTTTCTTATTCCCTCTCAATCCATGCCAGGATTCTCAGGGACATTCAACAAGAGCAGTTCAAGTTCCACAGCAATTGCACGTTTGGTCAGTTCAGGGAGGTTTCTGCTTTTTCTTAACCACTTTTTTTTTTAAAGAGGGGGTGTAACTTAAAGCTCCTATACTTTTCCACTGCACACATTTCATGGCTCAAATATTAGATATTGCTAGTTACAACGAGCTACTTGTATTAAGTACCTTCCCCCTCTAATAACAGGAAACAGTGTGGTGTCGTGGCTTGAGTGTTGGACTACGATGCTGGAGACCAGGGTTCAAATCTCTGCTCCAACATGCAGACCTGAAGAGTGACCTTGGGCAAGTCACACTCTCAGCTTCAGAGGAAGGCAATGGCAACCCCTTCTGAACAAACCTTGCCAAGAAAATCCCGTGATAGGTTCACTTTAGGATTGGCATAAGTCAAAAGTGACTTGAAGGCATACAACACCAAACAACAAGCTCTCGAATAACAAGGGTATAACCATATTATGATTATAACTTCTCCAGTTGTAGTGCAGCTGTAATTTGTTACTTTTGTAGTTATAGGGTTTGTGGCCTTATTACACTTGTGGGTGTTGAGGGGATGATGCAAGAGGACAATGTATTTTGTCCCATGAACAGCTTGTAACATTCAGATTTTTAAAAAAAAAACAATATCAGTAACTAGTTACTTTTGAGAACTAGAGAAGTGAATTATTTTTGCAAACCTTAGCATGGTAGCACACTGGTTTTTGGCCTTGAGGTCATAAGTGCAATTAATTACTTTTAAGATGTAATTTCCAATCCTTTACATTGGGTGGGGGGATGAATCAAAATCCATTTATTTAAAAGAACAAGAAATCCAGGACTCTAAGGAAAGTCCTAAAGAAACAACAACAAAAAGCCTGAATAAGTGTCAACAGTATACATCGCCGTTTATTGGTGATGTGTGTTTCTTTTTGCATTTATAAATGCACACAAATTCATTTAAAGCATAAAACAGAAGGAAATAAATGGGGATTTAATCTAACCATGGTACCAGCTAACTATAGTAGTGGCAGGTACTTTGTACTTGGGAAAAGGAAGAAGAGGTTGCGGGTGGGAGGGGAGATGTCAGGGGAGGCATTATTCCCAAGAACAATGATCAGATTATAATGCTATCTGATCTAATCCAGTCATGCTTAAGCACTGCTTCCTTTTCCATCTGATACTTAACAGGCCTTGGAAAGACTTTGGCTGGATAGTGCTCCTTAGGCTTGGGTTGAAATATAGTTATTGAACAGCATTTGGTGAAAAGTTCTCAGGCTTCTTTTTACGAGATACAGGTTACCATGATAAAAACAAAACCACACCCTGATTTTTAAAAGAGAGAAAATTATGAGGCTGACTTTTGTAGAATCAAACATTGTTCCAAGACCAAGTATGAAACCTAAACATCTGAAACGTGGCATGCTACTAAGAGGGTCTTGAGGCATGTATCCGGGGATTGTTTGCTTTTCAAAAGGTATTAATTTTTTAAAAAATGTAAATGTCTATAATAAATGTGCCTAGTGCATGGTTTTCAGACTGGAGAAACTGTCGGTTGCATGAGGCTGTGTAGGAGAGGCGTCACGGCAGGGCTGAGGCACAAAGTGTCCAACTCTGTTTGAAAGCTCTAATGTATCAAACCAACCTGTACAGAGGTTTTATTTCCAACTTCAAATAATTACAGGTAAAATGGAAGTGCCACAAAAAGTTCCAGCATAGCGGGCACTTCTCTAAGCTTATAACCAGTCAGCGTCTCTTCTGGATGCACCATTCTCTTCTCCTTTGGCTTGGTTTTTGGCTCCCACCCTGAGAATCAGTTTGAATTTCATGTCCAGTGAGCATGCTCAGTCCTCAATGGGTTGTTGGGGTTTTGTTTCCAATCCCCAAATCATAGAATCATAGAGTTGAAAGAGACCACGAGGGCCATCCAGTCCAACCCCCTGCCATGCAGGAACTCCCAATCAAAGCATCCCTGACAGATGGTCATCCAGCCTCTGCTTAAAGACCTCCAAGGAAGGAGACTCCACTAGTCTCCAAGGGAGTGGTGGGGTTCTCTAAAGTTTATATTCCACTTTTGCAAATGTTGGTGTTTCATTGAATCTGCTAATGCCGCCATTGTGTGAGAGAAAGGGACTGGGGAGAAGAGAGTAGATTTCTGTATGAATATTTATTCTCTAAACTAGTACAGTAGTTGAATCCAGACTTGTTTTCTTTGCTATGAAATAGATGTGTCTCTTGTCTATTTGGGAATGAGCCCCGTTCTCTCCAATGGGGTTCATTCACAAATAAGTGTCTACACTTAATGCTGCCTGAACATGCTAACGGCATTACTTTGGAATTCTTGATAGAATTCAGGGTACTCTGAAGATATTTGTTGTTGTTGTTGTTGTTAACTGCCATAAATCAACCTCTACTTATGGCGACCCTATGAATAAGAGACTTCCAAATCACCCTATTCTCCACAGCCTCACTGAGGTTTTGCACAGAGCTGTGGTTTCCTTACCGAGTCCATCCATCTGTAATGTCTTCCTTTTTCTTACTATCTTCTACCTTACCAAGCATTATTGTCTGTGCTATGGAGTCATATCTTCTCATGATGTGTCCAAAGTATGATGGCCTCAGTTTGGTCATTTTGGCTTCTAAGGAGAGTTCAGGGTTGATTTATTCTTGGACACATTTAGAGATATCTACACCCATATCCCCACCATGAGTTGGAAATGACTTGAAAACACACAACTCATGCGTTGCCTGCTTGTCCTTTCCTAACAGTCTCTTAAGTTTTAACACTTGGTGGGTTTGAACAACATCCAGTGTTCACTGGGGAAAGGGAAATGCCTCTATAGATTTTGTTAGGGCACCTTGTACTTCCCTTCCTATTGCTTTTAACCTGAAATAATAGTAGCCTTAGGTATCACTATTACTTTATTTTAGCACTCATTTTGAAGCACTACATTACCCATTGGGTACAGTTCTTTTTGTATGCTTGTTTTGTTTCATTGGGGGCAGGCAAGGAATTTTGCATAGATAATCTGTGGAATAAACCTAGGATAAAAATGTGTACCTGGTGGAAAGTAGCCTTGTCTTTGCCATTGTTATGCGTATCCCTTTTTACCTTTGCAGTTTGGCTGATCAGATGAAGAGAGTGCCATGTGTCTTAAGCTCTCTGATGTGGGGGCACTGGCAATTCACCCCTCCTAATGTGCCAGGGATTGATACCATACTTATTCCCATTGGCTACCATTATTTTTTTCCTTGGCAGGTCCCCAGGTTCAAAATAGATGGAGTGCTAAAGTTTCCCCATCCTTGCTATCCATAGTTCTCTGTCCCCTCTTCCCAGTTTAATTCTTGCAGAAGTCCCAAATGATAGACTGAGAGAGAAGAACTGGACCAAGGTCACCCTAGAGAGCTTCAAGGACTACGATAAAGATCTGAATCCCAGTTTCCCCTCTGCTAGTTCAACACTCAACCACTACGCTATACTGTCTCTCAATTAACATTCTGTTTTGTAACTCAAGGAATCTCCTCCACCCTAAGGATAATGATAGTGCAGGGCTATTTGTCAGGGTGCCTCTTTCTGGGCCTTGCCATATTATTGGTGTGTCACAAGAACTGAAATCATACTTGCATTTGGAACTGACAAAGCTCACTACCATTTTGTGGTCAGTGCATCATCTTGGGAGCTCCTGATGATGTAACAACCACTTGGACAGTTGGATAGTGGGTACGAGTGCTTATTGTTGTAAATCATTTGGCCTTCCAGACAGCCCAAAAATGTAGCCTAATAATAATAATAATAATAATAATAATAATAATAATAATAATAATAATAATTTTTATTTATATTTCCCACCTCTCCCTACGGATCGAAGCGGGATAACAAGTATATAAAAATACAAAGCATAAAATATATAAAAACCACAACAACAATATCCCCCCCACAATAAACCCCAGAATCCCTCTAAATTAAATGCATCGATCCTTATCAAACCAACCAGTTCACCCAGTTATCAGCTCTACTAGGAGCAGGACTTTTGTAAAGTTAATGGCTCTCAATTGCTTTCCTCATAGAATCATAGAATTGGAAGAGACCACAAGGGCCATCCAGTCCAACCCCTCTGCCATGCAGGAACTCCCAATCAAAGCATACCTGACAGATGGCCAGTACCAAAGAACTTGAATGTACCTTGCATTACAACAGAGACATTTTACCATTGGTTGCTGCTGAGAAGATAAAACTTTTCCCCTCCAGATACTGTGAGGACAGCATCTAATCTCTGAAATAGAAGAGGGAGCCAGATTATGTCATTGTCCTGCTAATCAAAAAGGGTTGGTCCTTTGCTTTCTACTCTGAAGAGCCTGGCTCCATTATAATGCTGGCTGGTGCACTGTTGAATCTAAGAGAAATGTGACCCTGACCCTGGCCTCAGTGGGAGACTTCACATAACTGATTAGAGTTTTCTACAGGAAGTGTGGAATCCATAATAAAGATAATTAGGTCTCTCTCTCTCTCTTAGTTCACAAGTATGTTAGTATCCTTCTCATTGAGAGCCAGTGTGGCATAGGGGTTTGAATGCTGGTGTATGGCTCTGGAGACCAGGGTTCGAATCCCTGCTCAGCCATGGAAACCCAGTGGGTCACCTTGGGCAAGTCACGCTCTTTCAGCCTCAGAGGAAGGCAAAGGCAACCCCCTCTGAATTAATCTTGCCAAGCAAACTCTGTGATAGGGTTGCCATAAGTCAGAAATGACTTGAAGGCACACAACAACAATCCTTCTCATGATATATTGGTAGCAGTAATGCAACTTTTGGGGAGGAGTTAGGGAAACGGCAGGTGACCTCGTCTCCTTTGACAAATCCAAAGGAGCATGATGAATTTCTTTGTGTTCTTTCAATGTTCCTGTAAAATAAATCTTTGAGATTCTAGGTTGTCAGATCATATAAAGCAAACCAGTTCAGCTAGAGATTTGTTTGCAAGGAAACTCATTATTTTAAACTACTGTGCAAGATTAGTTGAAATAATCTGTGCGTATATGAACAAGTATAAGTTCATGAATTTTGTTGAAAGAGAGAGACCCATTTCAAATCTGTTTCAGCCTGTGTGTTTATCGAAATAGTCTTGCTCAATTTTCCTAGGTTTCCAGATTTCAGTTTACAATAGTATGTAGTGATTTGAGTCCTCAGCAGTTAGATATGTTTGCCAGGATCTCCTTCTGAAGAGTCTTAACAGAAAACATTTATATTTAATTAAATTACTGTAATTATTTAATTTATTTAATCATTTATTTGACTTGATTTATATTCCACCTTCCTCCCAAAAGTGGGCCTCAAGGCAGCTCACAAGAAGATTAACTTTTTAAAAAGTTGCCAGGATGTTTATGCTCACGATCCCTTTTGAAAATTTATTACTTTCAGTGTTAATAATATAGTTGTCATTTTCTGTGCTTATACACCGGAGGCTTGATTGTGCTCCAGCAGTGCGTTTGAGTAAATTGATTAATGTACAAAAGCTCATCATGTTACCAAGTATGATAAGATTCCTTTTTTGTTGTTGTCGTATTGAAAAGTACAGAGGAAAAGAGAAGTTTAAAAACACAGTTTAAAAATGTGGACACTGTAAACAGTTGAATTAAAAGCATACCATTAAAAAAAAAAGTATGGCACATATCCATCAAAAAGCCCCTTCCTCAGTGACTAATTGGTTGCTAAAAGCATGACTGAATCAAAAAGGTAATTTCCATTTTAAGTTCATGGGCAAATGGAAGGAGGACTGACAATCAATCCAACAGTGTGAACACTGTTCTAGATTATTGAGTATTGGCTCTAAAGGGCAAACATTAGGCTTGTGCTTGAACCTGAGAGCACATTATAAGGCCTTATCTACACTGCAGAAATAAAGCAGTTTGATACCACTTGCCATGGCTCAAAGCTATGGAGTTCTGGGATTTGTGAGATATTTAGCTTTCCCTGTCAGAGAGCTCTGGTGCCCCATCAAACTAAAAATCCCAGAATTCCATAGCATTGAGCCATGACCATTAAAGTGGTGTCAAATGGCTTTATTTATGCAGTACAGATGCAGCCTCAGTTTAGGGAGCACTGTTTAGGGCAGGGGT